CCGTGCGATGGTGCTTGACTTTGCCGTGCGATTGAACGAAACTCAGGGAATTTTTAGGAAATTTGCTAACTTATATCTGCTGCTGAAGGGGAAATATATATATATATATATATTGCTGTACTTATAAGTGTTAAGGGTGGGAAATTTCATCCAAATGGTTCCTTATATACCAACCCGAACAGGGATGATTGATGACGATGGAGGGACGTGGTTTCTCCTAGCCCTTTACACTTGTTCAAGTCTCAAGCACTTTGTGATGACTATGCACCCTCATAACTTGACAAGTTGCTTGATATTATTGGTGGAAAATCATTTCCTCAACATAAGGAAACCCACGGCAATTGCTGAATTTATGGGAAAATTTCATTAACCTCACGGCATTAGGGCTTGGAACAATTAACTTGTGATTAATTATCATTAATCACTTACTGTATGTTTAATTAGTCAATTAAACATAACACTTAATTACCAAAATTATTTCGAACGTAAACGGTACGTCGAAAATAAATTTCGGTAATCTCGACTGAACTTAATTAATTCCGAAAATAATAAACGATAAACATTATTATATCGGAATTAAACGTAATCTTATTCCGATTAAAATATCGGGATATTACATATATTTCCTACATTATATTAATTAATTGGAGAAAAATTAGGTTTCCTAAATTAGGATTTAATTCTTTTCCATGAATATTAATTTAATTAGGAAAGGAAATTCCTACAAGGATCTTCTCTAGTGTTAGGAGACTTAGAAGTCTTCTAGAAGAGAGAGATTAGTAGGAGATCTCCTTCCTAGATTGAGTTAGTATTGGATTCGAATTAGGAATCCTAGGCCTAATGGAATAAGCCCATATTTAGCACCTCCTTAAGGTCCCTAATGGAGCCTATAAATACACCATGTCCCAATCTCTCTTATGGTTGTTGATGTTGGCCGATTTTCCCTACTACATACACGAGGGAATTACATCATTCGAGAGTTAGGGAGATCCGATTAAACGCTCCACCAAGTTTATTCGGAATAGGTGTTTAGGTAATCCGTTAGAAGGCTTTTTGGTGCAATAAATTGAGCCTTTATATACATATATTTTCCGGTCATCTTCCCCAGCTTGTCGCCGCCGTCCGCCACCGTCGACCACCGCCGGGAATCGCCCAGCACCGCCGGACGCCACCGGAAGTCGTTCGAGCCCAGCCACGCGCAACCGCACGCATCACGGGCACTCGCACGTTGCCCAGGCCCGACGCCAATCCCATCAGCGACACCCGATCGCCCCCGCGAGTACCCAACGACGTCCCGCGTGCCTCCCGCATCGCCCGCTTGCATCTGCTGCTCGCCATCGCCGATCGCGAAGTCCCAGCGTCCGTCCGCGACGCGCTTGCCATTCCGCGCGTGCCCAGGATTTGCGTACCGCACGCCCGCGTGTTCCAGTCGCGCACGCCCAGTCCGCGTCCGTATAGGAGAAGCACGCAGCGTACGCGCATGCCCAGTTCGTCTCCTGCCAGCGACCCGCGCATCATGCCAGCGACCAACACACGCACGCTGCCAGTGCCCGCGCATCCGTTTGACGAGTTGATTAGAATCAACTAAAGGCCAAACCTATCTGCCCATTAGGTTGTGGTGTTTAGACGAACTTCACCAACGGTACTCTACATCGTCTCAGAGTCGACAAAAACTTGAAAAGGTAAACGTCCATATCCTAACTATAGATTCCGTTGCGTTAGGATTTATTTCAATAAAGTTCAATACTGTGCATGTTGTTTGACGTTCCTAACAGAACCCAACAACAGTTGCCCTTGCGAGGCAAGTCTCCTTAAGACCTAATGAAAGGCCGTGTCCGTTACAGTGGCACGCACTCCCGTCGTTAGGGTTTATGCATCCCCTTTCTGAGGCTAATGATAGATGTGCACATGAGTGAGTTATTGTTACGATTTTTAGGAGATGAGACATGATGATGATTGATTTATATTCATGTTTCGACCATACCATCTTTACATGTTATTATGTGCATAGTAGTGAGCACTACTTTATCTTTTGTGCTCATTCCCACCTGCTCTTCACGGATGCAGGTTAAGTAGTGGTCGGGTGACGGGACGAAGGATGAGTGGTGGTCTATTATTTGTTTTATTTTGCTTCTGCTTTAATAATATGGTCGTTATGAACCTTTCTATGTTTTGGACATGTGAAAACTGTTTTCGAACTATGTTTTGATATTTGAAAATGTTTTGGAAGAACCTTTTATGAACCTTGAATAATCATGGTGTTTGATTTATGTAGTTTCAATTGTTCATATGGGATATTATGTTAAAGTGTGAATCAGGTTAATGAAAACCTTGTGAAAAATCGGGTTTATGAATCCCCGTGAGTCCAGATAAGACTTGGACTAAGTAAATTGTGTTGGTTAATGCCCTTGATTAAAATGAATTCGAAAAATTTGTTCTGATTTTTAGAAAGTCTGGAATTTCTTTAAAATCAAAGTGAGGTGTTACAGTTTGGTATCAGAGCCAGTCTGCGTTTCTGTAGATTGGCACATATGTGATTATGTGTTTAGACCTTGTGTTATGACCACTCGTCTCCGTCACTCCGCGTTGCTTAAGGTATGTTTGATTTAAGTGTTAATGAAAATACATGATATGTAAATGGGACACATGTGGTAATGAAACTACTTGTGGTGTAATTGTTATTTTGGGGCTTAGGACCTATCCACCTTGATTTAATCGAACTCTAGTGTTTATTGGCAAACTCTAGACTTCTATAAGTATTGATTATTTTGTTTGTTTTTGTGCTAAACTTTGTTCGACTTATTCAATGTAAAAGTATGAATACTAGCAACAACAACCATAACCGTCAGGCATCCCCGCAACCTTCTCCCCCTCGTCTGCACCAGGCCCCTCTGGCCATGGACCTCACTCAGCTTATCATCCAGTTTCAGAGGATGAATGCACCCACTTTTGCGGGGACTGAGAACCCCACAGCGGTGCTGGAGTGGATGAAAGAGATGGACAAGATTTTTGCAGTACTCCCCCTCCCGGACCGTCAGCGAGTGTCCCTAGCAGCTTATCACATGAAGGATGATGCCTCTGACTGGTGGATTGACCACTGGTCCCGGAGGCCAGAGGCGGAGCTTCATGCTCTCACTTGGGAGCAAATGAAAGTGATGGTGCGCAACAAGTTCCTTCCCTAGAGCTTTTGGGATAGGATGGAGCATGAGTTCTACCACTTGCAGCAGTGAGCTCCACAGTGGATGAGTATATCCGCACCTTCACCCGCATGTGCCTTTTTGCGGGCGTCGCAGTGAACACCGATGCCAAGAAGGCCCCCAAGTTTCTCAGGGGGCTCAATCAGAGGATCCGTGAACTGGTGGGGAGTCACGGACTGATGTCGTATGAAGATACCGTGAGTCGGGCTCAGGAGGTCGAGAGCTGTCTCATTCCATTGGCTCCAGTTCCTTCTCAGACCGTTGCTCAGTACGCTCAGCCCATCTCATATGTGCAGCCCGACTCTAGCTCGGGCAAGAGGAAGTCCGATTATCAGAACAAGAAAAAGGGAAAGAAAGGAAACTTCGGCAGACGTGACGACCGACCCACTCAGGGTCAACAACCGAGGTGCCCTAACTGCGGCAGGTTCCACACCGGAGAGTGCTTAGCAGACCAGCGAGCATGTTACAACTGCAACCGTCCGGGTCACTATGCCAGTGTCTGCACCGAACTGAAGAGACAGCAACAGCAGCAGCCCTTTGCCCAGCAGCGTCAGCAGCAGCTTCTCCCACCGCCACCTCATCTGCAGCATCAGTAGCCCCCACCGTTCCAGCAGAGGGCTGGGGGTCAAGCCCGAGTCTACACCATCACCCATGATGAGGCCGCCCGCAAAGGGTACCATGTCCGGAATGCTTTCGATATCCCATGTGCCTATGTTTGCTTTCTGTGATACCGGTGCTACCCATTCTTTTATTTCTTCTCGTTGCTTGGAGGCTTTATCTATTGGCACCGTGCATGCTTGTGATCCTCTCGAGGTTAGTATAGCCTCGAGAAAAATTATTATCTCTGATTCAGTGGTTCGCAACCTTCCTATCTGTATCGGTGGTCGAGTTCTTGAGGCTGACGTCTATGTAATTGATATGCGAGACTTTGACGTGATCTTGGGCATGGACTGGCTCACCCGTTACCGAGCCGATATCTGGTGCCAGGAGCGCGAAGTCACCCTCTACCCCGTTGCCGATCATCCTGTTGTGTTCTTTGGGGTGAGTTCAAGGACTGTGCCTCAGGTCATCTCTTCTATGCAAGCTAGAAAGAGCCTTTCCAAGGGTAGCTGTCAAGGCTATCTTGTTTCCATGGTATCCGACGATGTTGATGAGCGGGTGCCCGAGAGAGTATCTATTGTTTGCGAGTACCTCGACGTCTTTCCTGATGACTTACCCGGAGGACCACCCGACTGCCAGGTGGAGTTCACCATTGAACTAATTCCAGGAGCCGGACCCGTTTCTAAGGCCCCTTATCGTATGGCGCCTAAGGAGCTTCAAGAGCTCAAGGCCCAGATCCAGGAGTTGCTTAAGCTCGGTTTCATTTGTCCGAGTGTCTCGCCGTGGGGTGCGCCCGTCCTATTAGTGAAGAAGAAAGACGGATCTATGCGCATGTGCATTGACTACCGGAAGTTGAATGCCCTTACAGTCAAGAACAAGTACCCCCTTCCCCGTATTGAGGACCTTTTTGACCAGCTGAGAGGAGCCAACGTCTTCTCAAAGATTGACTTGCGTTCCGGTTATCATCAGCTGAAGATCCGGGAGTCGGATATTTCTAAGACTGCTTTCCGTACCCGCTATGGCCACTATGAGTTCGTAGTCATGCCGTTCGGACTCAGCAATGCCCCGGACATTTTCATGGACCTTATGAATAGGGTCTTTCATCCTTTCCTGGACCAGTTTGTCATTGTGTTCATCGACGACATTCTGGTCTATTCTCGAGATATCGATCAGCATAAGGAGCATCTGAGGATTGTGTTGGAGACTCTTCGCAGCGAGAAGTTGTATGCTAAGTTCTCGAAGTGCGAATTTTGGCTGAACCGTGTAGCATTCCTTGGCCACATTGTGACAGCGAGAGGCATTGAGGTGGATCCCAGCAAGATTGAGGCGGTTAGCAAGTGGGATACGCCGAGAAGTGCTGCTGATGTTCGTAGTTTTCTGGGATTAGCAGGATACTACAGGAGGTTTATCGAGGGCTTCTCGAAGATAGCCCAGCCACTGACCAACCTTACAAAGAAGGCTGTGAGGTTTGATTGGAGTCCTCAGTGCGAGGAGAGTTTCCAGGAGTTGAAGAGGAGACTCACTACCGCGCCTACCCTATCTATACCCGACCCTACTTTAAAGTTCACCATCTACAGTGATGCTTCAAAGATGGGTTTGGGATGTGTCCTTATGCAGTAGGGGAAAGTCGTGGCCTATGCTTCGAGGCAGCTGAAGCCTCATGAGCAGAACTACCCCACTCATGATCTCGAGTTAGCTGTAGTTGTCCACGCCTTGAAGATTTGGCGGCACTATCTCTATGGAGGCAAGTGTGAGATCTTTACTGACCACAAGAGCCTAAAGTACATCTTCACTCAGAAGGAGCTGAACATGAGGCAACATAGATGGTTGGAGCTGGTCAAGGACTACGACTGCACTATTAGCTATCATCCTGGGAAAGCTAATGTGGTAGTCGATGCCCTTAGTTATAGCCAGCTGTCTTGCTTATTCACCAGGCAGGATGTTCTTCTTCAGGAGTTCGAGCGATTACAGCTGGAGACAGTGGAGTCGGCTTTGACATTCGGGGGCGTGTTGGCCTCTTTAGTTGTGGGACCGACTCTTCGAGAGAGGATAGTCGCCGAGCAACCGAATGACCATTTCTTATGCCGGATGAGAGAGTTGTCGGAAGCCGGTAGAATTGGTGGATTCGCAGTCACATCTGATGGGGCCTTGGTCATCGAGGGTAGACTTTGTGTGCCAAAGGTGTGGGAGCTGAGAAGGAAGATCTTGAGAGAGGCCCATAGTGCCCCGTACAACATTCATCCTGGTAGCACGAAGATGTATCTGGACTTGAAGAAATCTTTCTGGTGGCGAGGCATGAAGAGGCAGGCAGCGAAGTTCGTGGATGGTTGCCTGGTGTGTCAGCAAGTGAAGGCTGAGCGCCAAAAACCGAGAGGGTTGTTGCAGCCCCTTGAGGTTCCCCTGTGGAAGTGGGAGTGCGTCACCATGGATTTCTTAGTGGGACTGCCGAAGTAGAGGGGTGGGTATGATTCGATTTGGGTGATAGTGGATCGCCTTACAAAGTCTGCCCATTTTTTGCCAGTCCGGACGACCATGAAGGCGAGTGATTACGCCGAATTGTTCGTCAAGGAAATTGTTAAGCTTCATGGGGTGCCCGTGGAGATTGTTTCGGATCGAGATGCCAAGTTCACATCCTAGTTCTGGAGGACGTTGCACTGAGCCATGAGGACGAGGTTGGAGTTCAGTACCGCCTTCCACCCGGAGAAAGATGGACAGTCGGAGCGTGTGATCCAGTACTTGGAGGATATATTGAGGGTTGTGGTCTTGGACTGAAGCTTGACTTGGGAGTATGCCCTTTCGTTAGTCGAGCTGACCTAAAACAACAGCTACCACTCTTCGATCAAGATGGTCCCGTACGAGGCTTTGTACGGACGTAAGGTCCGTACTCCTTTGTATTGGGATGAGGTTGGAGAGAGGTGGATTATGGGTCCGGATTTTGTTCAGAGTACTGCGGCGACAGTTGAGGAGATCTGGAAGACTATCAGGTCTGCCCAAGAGAGGCAGAAGGTCTATGCCGACCGGGAGATTCAAGAGCATGTTTATGCAGTGGAAGATCATGTCTTCTTGAAGGTTTCACCCATGAGAGGTGTGATTCGCTTCGAGAAGAAAGGGAAACTTAGAACTCGCTATATCGGGCCGTTCGAGATCCTCTAGCGAGTCGGGAACTTAGCGTATCGGCTGGCATTACCACCAGACTTGTCCGGTGTGCACGACATGTTCTATGTCTCGATGCTTCGGAGGTATGTGCATGATCCTGATCATGTGGTGGACTTGGGCGAGCTGCAGGTCGAGCGAGACCTCACCTACGACGAGGTGCCGGTAGCCATTTTGGACCGGAAGGTCCATCAGCTGAGGAACCGGACAGTGAGCTTAATGAAGGTGCAGTGGAGCCGACACGATGAGACCGAGGCGACTTGGGAAAAGGAGGCCGAGATTAGGAGGCGTTATCCGAACTTTGAGTTCTGAGTTCTCCTTTGTATTTTTTCGCTTTCTAGTTTTGTTTTCGAATTCCGAGGACGGAATTCTTTGTAAGGTGGGTAGACTGTAACGCCCCGTTCGGTTATGAATAATTAGATTTTTATTATTATTATTATTAAATGTCTAATTGTTTTAAATGTCTATTATTATTATAATTATTATTGTGTGTATTATACATATTATTCGGTTTAATTTATCGTCGCAATCGTACCCGATCGAGTATTTAATATTCGGGCCCAATTTTAATTAGGTTTTCCCTAGCTAAATATTAATTCCAATCCAATTACTATGATTAATACCCTTGCCCAACCAAATTGTTTAACCTTGGCCCAATTTCATTATTATAGCAGATCTGCCTCCTCCCTTCTCTCTCCCTCTCTCTCGCGTCGCAGAAGTCGAATTAGCAGGTGAGATTTTCTCGCGATAGTCTATCGTTCGTTCGTGCATCTCGCTCCCTCTCTACTTAAGACTCGGTCGTGGAGACCTTATCTCAGATTGTCCCAAATCAAATTCGTTTCAAATCCTCCTCTGTAATCTCCCTCTCTCACCGAGCTTGCGCAAATCGCCATTAAAATCGGCGAGTAGCAGCTCCATCGCCGGTGTTTCCTCGTCACCATCCCGGTCGTTCTCCGAGCAGGCCCGCTACTGGCGACCACCACGTTGTGTCCAGCCAGCCACCGTCCAGTCCCCGTCGTTGCCAGCCTTCTTTTCGTTCAGAGCCGTTGTCTGCCATTGTTTCCGGTGGCCATCTCCGGTCATCGCCGTTGGTCGAATTCCAGCAAATCGCGAGCAACCGCGCATCGAGCTTCAGTTCTGAGCTTTCGAAGGTGTTGAGCTCTTCCAGTCCCGTTTATCCATACGGCCCGTTTGTCCGACCGTTTTTCCGATTTCTCGCAAATTTCCCAAATAAGGGTAACTTTTTCGAAATCCTCTCGTTAATTGCTTTTCAGAGTGATATCATTCGATTATTGTTGGTTCGCGTTGAATCATTTTGTCGGTTTCGAGTTCAATTTATTTGTCGGTTCGTATTCGTTATTTATTTCGTATGTTTCGTGAATTTTTCGTGGAGATTATTGGACTCTGGTTAATTTCAAGTCGACCTCGTATGTTGCTGTGATTATTCGAATAAGATTCGGAGTCTCGTTGTAATTTATTTCGGGGGCATTTTGTTCGCTTGTTTTAAACTGTGTTTCGGCTCTTCGTTTTTTGAAAATAAAGCCCGTTTTTAAAATGTTTCGAAACTCTAAAATTTGATAGTTTAATTAAAACCCCGAACCTGATACCTGCTCGAGCATTATCGTCGATTTTGGGTGCTTGATTTGCAGCTTCTGTAACTGTTCCCAATTTTATTTTTTTTTATTATAGAGCCCAGCAGTGCGCGAGCCGTCCCAGCCCGCGAAGCCCGTCATCTCGCCCAGCAGCGGCCCGCGTCTTGGCCCGCGAACCCGATCCCTCTAGCCCGCATTTCCCAG